TGTGTGTGTGTGTGTGTGTGTGTGCGTTTGTCCGGGCATTTCAACTCGGCACCCAAGCAAGCTCCGGCGCCAAAATTTTGGCAGGGGGTTCCCCTGCCAAGTGCCATTCCAGGACAGCGGTAGCAACCCTCATGCACGTCCAGGCCCCGCGCACGAGCGCGTGGAAGTTTTGACGGAAAAACCGCTAACTCGGGAACCAGAAAAGCTAGAAAGTTGAAACTATTTTCCCCGTCTACATAGAACTCAAAGATTTCAAATTCAGCCCTCATGTATGCGTGGTTCTCACGTACGGCCCCGTGAAAGTCCCTAACGCGGAAGTCGCTAAGTTGCGGTTCAGGAGAGCTGGGAGGCTGAAATTTTAAGGGGATGCTCGCAGCCTACGCACAACTTAAATTTATCAGACTCAGCCCCAGGCTTGCGTGGTTCTCACGTAGAGTTCGTGAAAGTTTTTGGCGCGAAAACGGTTAATTCAGGGACCAGGAAAGCTCGAGGGCTGAAATTTTAACAAAATGCCCCCTGTCCAAATGCCGCGTACACAATTAACTTCCCCAACTTCGAGGATTACTATGTCACAAATTCTAGCTACTGGGTTTCCAAGCGATCTCATTACAGCACGAAATACTGCAAAAACGCATGATCGCACGGGCCCGCAGAGTGCTCGTAGCCAATGATTGGTTCGCGTGTGGCTTTGACCTGTCACGCAGCAAGAATTGCTGGATGTACCCTCTGTTTCGGTTTTTATGCGTTTTCGCTTATATGCAAAAACACATATTGTGACGACCCCGGTATGTGTATATATGTGTGTGTGTGTGCGTCTGTCCGGGTATTTCAACTCGGCAACCAAGCAAGTTCCAACGCCAAAATTTTGCTGGTAGGTTCCCCGGCCAAGCGCCACCCCAGGACCGCGGTACCAACCCTCACGCAAGTCTGGGCCCCGCATACAAGGGGGATGAAAGTTTTGGCGGGAAAATCGCCAACTCGGGAACCAGAAAAGCTAGAAAGCTGAAATTTTGAGGTTATTTCTCCCGTCTCCATAGAGCTCAAATATTTCAAATTCAACCCCCAGGCATGGGTGGTTTCCGTGTTTGACCCCGTGAGGGTTCCTGGCACGAAAATCGCTAACTTGGGAACATGGGGAGCTGAAATATTCAGGAAATGTCCCTGGCACATGCACAACTTCAAATTACCAAATTTAGCCCCTAATCGTGTGTGGTACTCACGTACTGCTCCAAGAAAATTTTTGCCGAGGAAATGGCTAACTCAGGAACCAGGAAAGCTGGGAGGCTGAAATTTTCAGGTAATGTTCCCAAAACAAGTTCAACTTAAAATTGTCAAATTCAGCCCCTCAGTGCAAATGGTTCTCACGTATGGCCCCGTGCTGGCGCGGAAATGACTAACTCAGGAACCAGAAAAGACCGGAGGCTGAAATTTTCAGGAAATGCTCCCAACCCATTTATGGCTTAAATTTATCAAACAGCCCCCGAGGCGTACATGGTTGTCATGTACGGTCTTATGAATATTTTTGGCAGGTAAATTGCTAACTCAAGAAAATCTGGAAAACTGAAATTTCGCCGAAATGTTCCCTGTCAAACTACCGCGTAGACAATTAACTTCCCAGACTTCGAGGACCAGTATACCACACATTTCTAGCTACTGGGTTTCCGAGCGATCTCATTACAGCACGAAATATTCCAAAAACGCATGTTCGCCGGTGCGCGTCGCCAATGATTTAATGTGTTTCTGCTGTGCAGCGCTATAGCGCTGCCACAGTGAACAAAAGCGCATACTTTCGAAAGATTGTCCGTGTGTGTGTGTGTGTGTTTGGAAGCCAAGTGAACTTTGTCATCCACTTTTAACTCAGCAACAAGGGAAAGCTGAGGAACTGAAATTTAAGGGTCAAATTCCCACCCCATGTGTAATCCTCCTGTTTTAAAACCTTTGCTCATACATGCCTAGACCTCGCGTATCTATCTCTGAGGAAAATACACAAATTTCTTTGGCACGAAACGATTCAGTAAACGAGACAAGATGGAAAGCTGGAACTATGCAGAGATATTCTCTCTGCGTGTATGAGCTAGAGAATTCAAATTCAGTCGTCACACACGCTTATGACGTGCGTAAAACCACGTTAAAATTCACATTTGGCACCGTGCCAGCCCGAAAACTAGTATGAAAACACTTAGCTGAGATTTTGTCAGAATATTTATTGTTCGTACGGAAAATCGTGTACCTAAATTGAATTTCGATTTGCACTTGCGCCAAGACTCAAAGTACTTCATAAATATTTGTAGCGATGTGGCTATTTGACTTACCAGACAAGTTGCGAAGCTGAAACTTTGCATGGATATCCTACATTCACGTGCTGCTTTAATACAGTCTGGACGTGAAATTTCCTGCACGCAAGCATAAAAAATACTAAGTTCTATCGAAAACTCAAAAGCGACAGATTTTATAATCCTTTTTCGGCTTCCTTAAAATTTGCATTTCTTTAATGAACGGGCATTCACCAAAAAAACGACAAGGCCTCGCGCAAAAAACTGATAGTCATGTACGCTAAAGGTCTATGCGACGTCATAATGCAACACCTTCATCCCGGCTGACGCCCCTCCTTCCGCATGTGGGGAGAAGCCAAAGCACAGCCAATATGAGTCCGGGCGTTAATCTACACAGCAGAAATCATTCCTGCTGTTAATGATCTGCGAGTTTAGCGCAAAAACGCATGACTGCACCGGCAAGCCTGGTGCACTGCAGCCTGGGTTTCTTTTCCGGAAGCAGTGCACCGCATCCCTCAACAGCTCGTGCCAGCGGGTCCAAGTGAAGTCGCTTTTGCCATTTTCAGGGCACGCAAGATGATTGCCAGATACATGCATCCCCCCTCCGGATGCAACAAATTAGCACTTCGCAAAAGACTGCAGAGTGGGTCCGCTAGGCTTAACTTTATCGAGACGGAGCTAGATGTAATTTTAAGCGAGGGACGAATGAAACCAAATGAGAGACAAAGGGGGAATACACGACCGATGCAACATGTGTGCACGTGCCAGCACTGATGTGGAGAAACTGTCGGAATTAATAAATGCGAAAGATCTGAAGAAGCCGGCAGTACCAATGTCACGTGTGTGCGGATGTGTAAGGTTTAGACCTTGGGGGTTGTAAATGGAGAACGGGAGAGGGCGATGTTATTGACTGGAAAGGAGCCGAAACCTTGTCTGAATGCATGAATGCGGGGAGTCTTAGAAGAAGACACTGTCTAGGTTTCTTTTGTGCTCAGCATGAAACTTCTGTGCTGTGGAGAAGTCTGCAGTCTTAAACGCGATACCTGAAACTCCGCCTAGACCAAAAAGCTGGAGATACGGCCCTCAAAGCCAGAAGCCGAACCCAAAAGCGCACAGAAACAAGTGCATGTTGTGCGGCTGTGACAACCAGAGCCGAGCTTCAGGATTTGCCATGTATGGCATCCTGGGGCTGCTACATGCGCAGGCTCACTTTGAATAGGGGCGCTCGGATGGCACTCTGCCAGTGCATCACGCCCATCTGTTGTTCAAGTTTCGGAAGTTGTCCAGAGCCAGTCATGTATTGTATGCTCGTAAAACTCCGGGTTGGGTGGCGCGGTGGATGTGGTGCTTGTGTTCTTTGCGTTCCGTCCTGTGGATCCAGAGCAGTGGTACAGCTGTGTGTTTCAGGATTCTTGTGGCAGCAGCTTGTCGGGATTGCGAAAATGATGGTAGAAGAAGGTGTTCGAAGGGCGTACAAGCGCGACCCGGCCCACAGGTTGGCTCCAGTCTATCTCACGCATCAGCCTTCCTCCTTTTCTGTGAAATCGACTGCGAACTCCTAATTAGCAGCAGCAGCAGCAGCAGCAGTGAAAATTATCGGTTGTTCTGGGCACTAAGCGGAGTGAGCTACTGGTGGGTCGGCGTTCGCCTGGGAACCCGTCCTGATGCTGCCAGGCGGCATCGCATCGGGATGATCTAGCAAGCCGACTGTTTGCCGTGTGCTTATTGCACTTTCAGATTTGCAGACATCGGCCGCATTGGAGCTTAAATTGCTTTAACAATAATAGTGTTTTCGCATTTTCAGGGTTTTTGTTAATCGCAATCTTCGCATGGAAAAAATTCGATTTTTTGGCTTCGATATGGACTACACATTGGCAGGTTAGTTTTTCCACTTGCATTTGCCGGTCAGTTCATTTCTTTGCTCTCGCAATGTACCGGATCCGAAAATTGACGAAGAAAGCACATGTGTCAGCAGCAAAATCGCCAGTTTATGCGAAGCAGTTTTGGTTAGTACGACCAAGTAAAGCTTGCTAACTGCACTGATGGCTTGAATATGAGCCTCGATCAGACTGCAGTCATTCACAGTGTGGTCCCTCGTCATCCTTCATGCTTTCCCGCCATGACTGCCCAAAACCAAGTTTGAACCGTCCTTGGAGAAGTGCTTCTTGGTGCACGGCAAAACCGACTATTTTTATACGTTCTTGCGCATTTGTGCAGATAAAAAAACGCATATGGGCAAGAGGTTGTTTGTTTTCGCATCTTATCACCCAGTTTCAACTCAGCAATGAGAAAAAGCTGTAGCTTTGGAGCATGTTCCCACCCCATGTGCGACCTTCCCGTTTTTATATCTTCTTTTTATG